ATCACGGGGACACCCGGGGTGGGAATCGCCTCCTGGAGAGCTGCCGGAGATGGGCGAGGTGCTGCTTTTTGTGGCGCCGGGGAGCCTGGGGCTGGGATTTACCCACGGCAGCGGCCACTGGTGAGAGCTCTGGAAAACCCGGGGCCCGCCGCGCCTTGCGCCGGGCTTCCCAAAGTGGAGCAAACCGAGCCCGGCCCATTAATTACCTGCTCGGGGACAAAGTTTGTGGGTTTGGGCTGCCCCCCTCCATGGAAAAAAACAAAAATGCAAATTAGGCAGCCTCGTTAGGCGGCGGGACGTGTCTCTTGAGCCTTGCACATCCTTGGGCCCGATGCGCACCAGGCTCCTTACATCTCCTGGCACCTGTCTCCAAAAGCAAAAGTTTTTGTGTTTTTTTTTTTTTTTTTTTTCTTATTTTTATTCCTTCCTCCCTCGTAACCCTATTGATTTTTCCACCCGGCCCTGAGCCTGCATCCCTGTAGGTACGTGCTCGGGTTTTGCCAGCATCTGGTCCACGGCCGACCCTGCCCCAGTTGGCAGCGTGGTGCCCCGCGGGAGCCCTGTTTTCCCTTCGGTGGCTTCTGCCTTATCTCTCCAAGGCTTTTCACCTGGTTTTTACGTCAAAGGCACGCTTGGGAGCCGTGTTGCTGGCGTGCCCCAGCAGTTGCAGCCCAGGGCTGCCAGGGATGGAGCCCCCGCAGGCTTTGCTGCTTGCTGGGCGCTCAGCCTACGAGGTGGGACATGGGTGGGTGAAGCCTTCCCCATGGGGAACCCATTCTCTTTCCATAGTCACCAACCACAGCATTAAAAAAAAAAAAAAAAAAGAGAAAAAATAAGAAAAGCACTCCCTGAAAGCTGAGGTCCCCCAAAAGGGGAAAAGATCCCCCAAAAGGGGGAGAAGAAGCAGTGTGGCCACGTCTATGGGATCCAACCATCAACAACTTTCTAGACATCCTTCCTTTGGGTTTCCTGGTGGAGAAAACGGGCAGGTGAGACCCAAAGCCACCACCTCAGGGGCAGGGGAATGGGGGAGAAGAGCTCGGACCCCAAAACATCGTGGAGAAGGAGGTCCCACAGCCCAAATGTTGGGCCCAAATCCGAAACATCGTGTTGGGCACGACCAAGAACTTCACTTGTTTCTTTCTTTTTTAAATTTTTCCTTCCAGGCACTGAAAATTGCTGCGTGGGCAGAAGGAGATTTGGAGGTGATTGATGGGTTTTCAGTGCCTGCCAAGCAGATGTGCTCTTTTTACAGGCATCAGACACCCGGGTTTGGCTTTTCTGGCTGGCAATGCCAGCTCCCGGGTCTGGGGAGCTCGCGCCCCGTGGAAGATGTTCCAGTTGGCTTTGAATGACCAAAGACTGCCCCATGGTCGGAGAAAGGGTTTTCCTGCCTCATCTTTTTGGGCTGAGGCGCATCTTCCACCACGGAGAGCCTTGAGGGGTCCCTCCATGCCGCCCCACGCATGGGGGTGCAGGGCCATGGTTTTGGGGCTTTCCGCCCTGCCCCATTTCCCCGGGCTGTGGGGCCAGAAGATGGCTCAAGGCCGAGGCCGTGGCGTGTCCCCAAGTCTTGGGGACAGCTGTGGGTGTCACCAGGCTTGGCCCTGAGGGGTGCGGTGACCACACGCTGCTGGGGTGGGACCCCAGGGGGGTTTCCAGCAGGGAACTCTGCCTTGTCTTGGCCCTGCCAGGGCAGAGCAGTAATTTTCCATCCGGCTTGGCGGCGTGGAAACACACCCAGGCACGGAAAAAGCCTGGAAGGGAAGAAAGAAGAAAAGGAGACACTTGGCCAAGGCAGCTTGGCGGGGTCCCAAGGCGAGGAACGGCTTCAGGTTCATCCCCTGTACACGGCCCAGGACCCCAGGACTCCCCTGACATCTCCTCCTGGCTCCTTTGTGCAGCCCCCCAGGGACATCCCACCCAGGGAACCCCCTGAGCCCCTGCACGGGGCCAGCCCTGGGCACTGCCTGGCTGAAACACAACCACCCTGGGGCCACACCCATCTCTATGGCTAGAAATAAGTCCCTTTATTACAGTTTTTCCCCCTCATTTTGGCTCTTTTGGCTGGATCTGTTCCCTGGGGAGCTGCATGGACAGAGGGGTGCCCACCCCTGGTGCTGGTGCTTGGTGTCACAGTGAGATTTTGGAGGAAAAGCTGAGCAGGGGGACACGGGATCCGGGCCTCCAAACTTCTCATCACCACGGAAAAAAAGTAGTGGAGACAAAATTGTGCTCCTCGTGGTCATGTTTGGCATCCCTCGGGCGTCTGTGCCTGCTCTGTTGTTGCCGGGGGGATATCTCGTTATCTGCAGATAATTACCCAGAGATAATGATATCTGCATCCACAGTGAGGTCTTACTGGGTCTCGTCCTTCCTGGGGCAGCCACGGGTAGTGGGAGTGTAAAGGGAGAAGCTCGGTGGTGCCTCGTCCAGAGGTGGCCACCACCAGCCGTGCCCCAGAGCGACCACCAGCTGCCCCATTGGGCCCCTGGGACCTCGGAAACCTCTCCTGGCCCCAAAATAATGGGGCCCTGAGGAGTTCATTGAGGGCTTCGTGTCCTCGGGAGGCAGCGGCTCCGATTCTCTCCATCCCGCTTGCATGATGCAAGACCCAGCTCGCTCCGTGGGGAACGGGCAAAGTGTGAATTAAGAGCAGCTGCACAGCTCTCTGGCTCCAATTAGCTCCATAATTAGGGCTTCATGGAGGACACGGCTACCTCCAGGGGTGTCTCCAGGGGGAGAGCTGCTAACAAGCCTGGAGGCCCTGGGATGGGGTTAAAGCCACCTCGTGGGTGGGAGCGGAGGGGTGGGACAGGAGGGATGGGGACATCCTTGGGTTGGTTCAGTTGGGTGCGGGGCAGAAATTGGAGAAATTGTCCTCAGATTTCCCTGGGCCCTTGAGGAACCAAGACCCTATGAGCGTGTTGATACGGGAGGCTCCAGTCAGAAGCTGCCCCCAACGCCAAGTGATGAAGGCTCCATCTGCAGAGCCACAGAGGACGTTGGTTTGTTTTTTTTTTTAGGAGGGAGGATCCCTGTGTGCATAGCTGTGGGGCTGCAAAACCTCCTTGGGGAGGTGACTGGGCTGTCCCCACTGGTAGGGACAGAAAAGTTCAGGATCAGTCCCTGCTGGTCCCCCTGGGTGCCAACTTGTGCCACGATGCTGTAGTTTTTGGGGCATCCAAGGGACATCCCAGCTGCCTGTCACCCCAGGGCTTGCAGCCCTGCTCCTCGGTCCCTGGGGTCCCATCCTGGCCACAGCCGGGAGAAATGAGCCCAATCTGGAGCCAGCACGTTTCCTGAGCACCGCCGGGGCCCGAAGGCAGCGAACCGCAGATAAAAGTTGCCCAAGAGATGAACCCAGAGATAGCCGCCGGCACTGCCGGGGCTGCGAAGCCTCAAAGAGACAACTTGAAAACCACACGCGGCCGAAATTGGGCTGGGGCAGGCAGATCTGCTCCTGGGCTGCTCGGGGGGGGGGGGGCGGCTGGCAGCGGTGCACCCATGGGTGCTCAGCCCCCATCACCCACCCCATGGCCGAGCGTCACCGGCAGTACCCGAGCTCAACATCACCCCCCCAAAGACCATTTCCCCCAAGCTGCCCGTGTCCTATTCTATATATTCAAATATATTTAAAGTTCCTATCTACTGTAAGCACGCCGCTTCGGTGCACCAGCAGCCCAAATTTCGGTTGGTGCTGCGCGTGAAAAGATGAATCACACAGGAAGCTGAAGAGAAGGAAATCTGCAGCAAAAAAAAAAAAAAAAAAAAAAAAAAAAAAAGAGAGAAAAAAAAAAAAAAGCAAACCAAGAAACACAAAACCAGAAAAACCAACCCAAACCACAAGGCAGGTACGTGCTTAGGGAACGGGTGGAGAAAAATAAATAAATAATAGTAAAATAAATGCTGCAGGGGAAATGGAAGACCCTGAGGCATGTCGAGAGGGGAGTTATATGGCAAAATATCGTGTTTTAGAATAAGTCATTTTTAACAAAACGCCCCCTGGAAATGAGTGGAGGCTGCCCTGAGAGCCTCTTGCCACACGTCCCAGCACTGACATGTCTTTTTAGCAGGAAAACGGTATTACAGAAATTACGGGGTAAAACCAATTGACCTAGCAGACCAAAAACTACGAAGTCTGGGGGCGATAAGGGAAGATTTGGGGGAGATCTGCTTTTCAGAGTTCAGCAGGTAGGTGTTGAAATACCGGACACCCATCCCTTAAAATAAAATAAATTGGTCCAGAGCAAGTTTCCTTAAATTCTTAGAGTTTTGAGGCTTGGATGATGCCAAGGGGAGGGTACTGGTGAGGAAGAGGAGGAGGAAGAGTGGCACGAAGGTGCAAAGGGTTATCTGCCACACCAAGAAGGTGAGCTGCTGGCCTGCCCTAGATGGGAAAAATTAATGCCAACCATTTCTTTTTGGCCATAAATCCAAATAAAAAGGTCTGCTAAGGGTTTCCTAAGACTTGGCTCCCTTCCACCGCTGCCTCCCCGGAGCCGCTGCAAATTAAACAAGCCGTCAGGGTGAAATAATGGTCGGGAGCCCAACAATTTGGGCACCTGGCTTTGCTCCACGAGGTCCTCCATCACCGAGACTCGCTGCCGGGCACCGTTCTGTGCCCGCTGCTGGACCGAGGCCCCAGACCCCCAATTTTAGAGGCTGGGGGAGGCTGCCGAGCCTCTGCCAGTGCCTCGCCAAGGGGCTCTGGGCTGCCTCCCTTCCCCTCCCAGCACCGGTGTCGCTGGGTTTCGGTGGTCCTGGGGGTTCGGCATCACTCGGGGGCTTTTTGGGGCAGGGAGGCTGCGGGTGAGGGCTGCGAGTGGAGGCTTGGTGACCTCCTCCCATCCCTCCCCGTGAAACTGGGGGACTGGGGGGGGTGGTGGCAGAGCCCCGACGGGCTCAGTGCACGTGTGGGGGAGGCCGGCCCGGCCTCATCCCCTCCTCCGGCCGGCCCCCGCGAGCACCCAGCCTCCTCCTCCTCCTCCTCCTCCTCCTCCTCCTCCTCCTCCTCCTCCTCGCCCTCCTCCTCCCACTTCCTCCGCACAATGCAAGCAGCCTCCCGAGCGGGGCAGAAGCAGCCGCCGGCCCCCCCTTGCCGCCGACCCCCCCGGCCCGGCGCCGTAAGATGCTCCCGGGGAGGCAGCGCCGCGAGGTGAGTGCGGGGAGGCTCAGCCTCCTCCTGCCCGGCCTCCAGCCGGCCGCGGGGCTCTCTCCGGGCTCCCCTTCGGTGGCAGCTTTTGGGGGGAGCGAGGCAAAAATAGGCCGGAGCGGCTCCCCCCGCGCCCCCTTTTGGAGAGGCTTTGCGCGCCCTGCCGCGGGTCGGGCGCGCCGGTGCTGCGCTCCAGCTTCGGTTTCGGGATTTTCCCCATTTATGGCCGGTTTTAGAGCATGTGGTTCCTGCACCCTGCGCGGCGGCTGCTGCTGCTGCAGCTTTCTTCAAATCCGCCCCCCCCCCCCCCCGCACCCCGTGAAACATCGCTGGGGTGCTTTGGGGAGCGGTGACCCCGCAGCGGGGCCGTGCCGCACACGTGCCCGCAGGTGCGCGCGCGAGCTTGGGGACCGGCTCCCCAAAAATCTGGGTGGCGGTGACAAATCCCAACGGGTTCCTCCCAGCCGGGGGAAGCTCGGGAGCCACGGACTCCTCCGGGGACACTCTGGGAGCAGGCGTGCGTGGCCGCCCGGCCGCTCCCCCAAACGCCCTGGCCGCCGATCGCATCTGGAGCTGGTGGAGACGTCGGGAAGGTGACCTCCTCCTCCTCCTCCTCCTCCTCCTCCTCGGCGGGGACACGAGGTCCCAGAGCCGCTATCGCAGCCGGACGGAAGCTCACGGGAAGCCCCTCTGCCAGCAGCCAGCACCGCCAGGCGTCACCTCCGCCACCCGCGAGGGGACGTGGGGACACGGGGACGGAGCACGTGGCAGCAGAGCCCCAAAGCGGTGCCGGGGGACTCGAGGCTGCCTTGGCGCTACCTGCGTCCTCCCCAGGGGAGGCTGCTCCTGGGCCTCGCATAAAGGGAGGCAGAAAGGAGCCTCTGTGCTTAATCCCTTAAATCCACGGTGTTTTGCCCGCCTGAACGCCCGGATGAGGTTGCATTTTGGGAGCGGTGCTGGGGGTCTGTCCCCGTGCTCCAGCTGGGAAGCAGGGGGCGTCCCCCTGACGTGGGGTCGGTTGCACAACGTGTGTCTGCAGACGGGCATGTTTCGGGGAAAGGGGAAAACGAAGCGTGGGAACACCATAAATTGTGAAATTCCTGCTTCCTCCTGAGCCCGGTGTCCACCCCGAGCACCGTCCCGACCGCCGGCCGTGTCGCTGTGCGTGGAGGGGGCACCTCCAGCTCCGTGTCCTCCCCGTGGGGCGCGTGGGCAGCCGCCCGCCTGGCCGCTTCCTGCTGCCTTTTTGTGTTTCTCCTCCCGAAAACCTCCCACCCCAAATGTCTCGTGGTGACCGAGGGGTGTCAGCGGGGAAACGCGTTTCCTCCCCGCCGCGTGCAGAGCGGGGACAGACCCTTGTAGCAGAGCAAAACCGCCGCGCTCGGCGCCCTTTATCTACCCCAGCAAGCTCGCCCAGCTATCCGAGCCATTTCCCCTTTTGTGGACGAGGCTTTTATCTTATCTCCGCGCTCTCTTCCTCCATTTCCTTCTCTGTTTCTCTGCTAACTCTGGCCACAGAAAGAGAAAATAAACAGGGGGTGGAGAAGGGGCACCAGACCCCACTTGCTGTTGTCCCTCTGGAGGGTTTTGGGGCTGCCGAGTGAGGCTGGGGATGCGTGGGGTGGCGTGGGGGATGCTCACGGGACGTCGGGAGGTGCTGGGGGTGCCCAGCGGTGCTCTGGGGGGCAGGAAGGGATGCTGGAGGGGTCTCAGGGGGGTGCTGGAGGTGTCTCGGGGTGCTGGCGGTGCTGGGGTGAGGATGAGGAAGGCCGGGCGGTGCGGTGACGGTCTGCCAGCTCCACCTGCTGGCACGCGCTGCCTGCTGCTGCGGGGCCCACCCCGGCCCAGGAGAGCCCACTGGAGGTCCCACGGGGGTCCCGGTGACTCGGGGGAAGGACGAGGTGGCCGTGGGTGACCCGTGCTCTCTCTGCCCCTGCAGGAAGGCCAGCTGACCTCGCCCACCACACATCCCAGTCCCGCCACCGGCCGTGACGTATAGATGGCCGCGAAACGTCCCCCGGAGCCTCTGGACGCCGTCGTCTTCAACAAGCTGCCTCGGGTGGATGCCGAGCCCGGCCCGGGCTTCCCCCCCGTGCTCTGCAAACCCAGCCCCGTGCCCACGGCCGGCTCCGAACACCACCTCAGCTACAAGGGCTCCTACTTCTCCTGCCCGCGCACCGAGGGCCCCCTCCTGCACTGCCTCCTCCACCGGCCCCGCAGCCCCCCGCCGGGCAGGCTGGGTGCTGAGCAGGGCGCGGACGCCTTGGTGTGGGACCTGCTGATGGCACGGGACAAGTGGCCCGGCCACCAGGGCCACCCCTTCCCGATGAAGAAGCCGGTGGCCGTCCCCAAACCGGTGTACGCGGCCCCGCTGTGCTTCACCCCGCTGGGCTCCCAGGGGGGGGACAGCACCCTGCAGAGGGCACCAGGGGCTGCGTCCCCCCACGGCGAGCCCTCCCGCAGGGGTCCCCACCCCGAGCCCAGCCTCCTGCCGCTGCCCCCGGCCTCCCCGGTTGCCTTCTCCCCCTATTACGCTGCCTTCGAGAAATACCGAGGCCCCTCTGCCTCGCACGACCTGACCAAGGTCCCCGAGCTCCCTGGCCGGATCCAGGACCCCTGGCCCAAGCTCCGTGCCCCCGCTGGCAGCCCGGTGCACCGGGAGCATCCCCCAGCGTGCTACCCGCAGCCTCCCTACCCACATCCTCCCTTCCCGCAGCCTCCCTACCCGCAGCCCCCACGCGCAGAGCAGCCTCCGGGCTCCCTCTCCTCCTACAAAGCCCTCGGCTTCGCGGCCAGCGGGGAGCCTGCCCCTTTTCCCAGTGCTTACCTCAAACCCCAAACCCCCAGGACCTACTTCCCCAGCCCCTTGGATGGCTTCGTGTCGAGGCCGGCTGGGCCTGGTGCACTGCCCTCACCAAAGGCCGCGGGGCTGCCCAGGGCTGCCGAGCCCCCGCTGCCCACCGGGTTCCTGCATCCGAGCCCCAGTTTCGCCTTCAGCCCCATGGAGGCGGCTTTGTTCGGTGTCACGGAGCACCACGGGGCCTGGGCGAGCAGTGGAGCCCCACGGAGGGAGGCCGGCGGCGAGGCCCGGCAGCGCCTTCCACCCCGTCCGCGCCCCGCAGAAGATGCCCGAGGGACTCACAGGGACGTTCCCCAAGGGAGACGCCGGCTACGGGATGGACGTGGTGGCCAAAAGCAGCCCCGTTACCCCCCAGCACCACCCGGGCACTGGGGATGCTTGTAGGGTTGGGGACACTTGTAGGGTCCGGGATGCTTGTAGGGCTGGGGACACAACCCAGGAGCCTGCTGGGGCCGCCTGTCCCCAGGAGAGGCTGAGGGACCTCAAAAGCGGGGAGATGTCCGGGGAGATGTCCCCTGCCTCGCCGCCGATGCCGGTGATCAACAACGTCTTCAGCCTGGCGCCTTACCGCGAGTACCTGGAGGGGACCGAGGCCTCCGCCGACGTCCCCGTCCCCAAGGAGCACACCCAGGGGGACACCTCGCCCCAAAACAGCAGCCGGCACTTGGGACCCTGGTGCCGTCAAGGTGTCGGTGACGCCCAGCGAAGGGGAGGGCGCTGACCAAAAGGCGCCCCCCGAGGGGCCCAAGGCAAAGGCCGTGTCCCCAGAGCCGCCAGCCAAAAGCCATGAGGGCAGTGAGGTGGCGCTGGACCTGAGCTTGAAGAAGAGCCTGGTGACAACAGGGGACACCCACCCAGACACCAGGCAGCCCCAGGAGGACAAAGAGGGGCCGCTGGGGAAGGTGGAGGAGATGGGGGAGGACACTAAGCCCCCGGTGCCACCCCAGCTGGTGGAGGCCGTCTCTGGGGACAGGAGCCACTTCCAGAGCTCGGCCGCCTTCATGTCCAAGAAATACAAGATCCTCAGGTCCTGGGGGCCGCCCCGTGCCCCCCAGCCCAGCCCCGTGCCTCGCAGCCCCCCTGGCTCCCCACCACCCAGCACCTCGGCCCCGCAGGGGACCTGCCACCGCCGCCTGACGCTGACGGACATGCTCGTGCCCCAAGCTCCCCCTGTGCTGGGGGAGGACGGAGCCCCCCTGCCCGCCTGCTGTGATGCCCCGGCCCGACAGGGCTTGGGCAACCCGTGCTTTGCTGCCCTGCACGCTGCCCTCTGCGATGTCCTCGCCTGCTCGGTGGCCGGGTCCTCCCCGGAGCTGCTGCAGGAGTGGCTGAGGAGGACGGAGCCGGAGGAGGCGTTGGTGGAGATGCCCAGGTCCCCCCCCAAACCCAAGAATGGGGTCAGGCTCCCCGAGCCCCCCAAGCCCCCCAAGGGCAAGGAGATCTGGCTGGCTTTCCAGGACGTGGCCGTGCTGCTCAGCAAGCTGCTGTCCCAGCTGGAGACCTTCATGTTCACTCGCAAGTGCCCCTTTCCCCACGTGGTGCGGGCCGGTGCCATCTTCATCCCCATCCACGTGGTGAAGGAGAAGCTCTTCCCCAAGCTGCCCGGCGCCTCCGTTGACCAAGTGCTGCAGGAGCACAAGGTGGAGCTGCGTCCCACCACGCTCTCGGAGGAGAAGCTGCTGAGGGACCTGGAGCTGAAGAGCTGCACCTCGCGCATGCTGAAGCTCCTGGCTCTCAAGCAGCTCCCCGACATCTACCCGGACCTGCTGAACCTCCTGTGGCACCACTCCATCAGGCAGCAGCTCGGTAGGTAGCTTGGTGGCACCCCAAGCTCTTCCCTAAGGGGCTCGTGGAAGGATGTCCCACCAAAAACCAAGGATGCGCCACTGAAAAGTAAGGATGTCCCATCAGAAATCAAGGACATCCCACCAAAACTCAAAATGTCCTGCCAAAAACTAAGGATGCCCCACCAAAACACAAGGATGTCCCACCAAAAATTAAGGACATCCCACCAAAACCAAGGATATTCCACCAAAACCAAGGATGTGCCACCAAAAACTAAGGACACCCCACCAAAAACTAAGGATGTCCCACCAAAACCAAGGACATCCCACCAAAACCCAAGGTTGCCCCACCAAAAAGCCCCCCAAAAACTCCCAAGAGCATCCTGCACAGGGACTGGGTGGTGACACATGCCCACCACCACCTTCCTTCTCCCAGCCCCTTCCCCACCGCTCCTCGTTGGCTCTCCGAGCGCTCGGCCACCCGGCTTCCCGAAATCTGCCTCCACGTGGCACGGACCGTGCAGAGATGAGGAACCCCAACGCTTCTCCCAAGGAAGCCGAGCTCCTTCCAGGTGTCTCTGGATGGGGACAATCCCACCACCGCCGCCCCTCGTGTCCTCGTGCTGCAGCTGGAGGCCGGCACCGAGAGCCTTGTGTCGTACGGGGTGGAGGCCGGAGGCTGGCCAGTAGGTGAGTCTTCTTTTGAGGGTGTTTGTAAGGATTTGTCGTCTTTGGGGACATTTGTGGGGGGGTTTCATGCTCAGGGTGGACCAGGAGGGCCACGAGAGGGGCTGCTTGGGGGGGTTAGGATGATGGGGACCCCGCTGTCCCCCGTGACCTGAGGGAGAGACTGAAGGCATCAGTAGGGCTAGGGGAAATGCAATTTTTCTTGATTTTGTAAAAATTATAGGGGAATTGCCTTCGTGAGGAGGCACCTTCATATTATAGCTTCTAAAAAAAATAATAATAGTAATTTATATTTGTCTTTTTATTTCAGAATTCGGCTTCACCCACTGACCGTGCTGGACCAAGGTGCAGGGAGCCAAGCTGTCGGGGTGCGAGCTTCAGCCCCGGATGGATGGAGAGAGGCTGCGAGGAAGATTTGGGAGACTTTTAATGCCAAAAACACTCCCAAAAATGCTGGGGGCATCCCAGGGACCCCCCGATCCCCCGGACACTGCAGCCAGCCTTATGCCCAGCCCCAGGGCCTTACAACCTCCGTGCTCAGGTGTTTCCAGCAGGGGAAGAACGAGTTAAAATGAGGATTATCATTTATTAATTATTATTATTTTTTCACTACAGGAATATTTATTTTAAACTAAGAAAATGGGGAAAAAAATGGGGAAAAAAAAACAAAACAAAACAACACCCATGACTTTTCTGAGCCAAATAGGGTGATGTGGAAAGCAGCGTTTGCTGATAAGCCTGCAGTTTGGTTTTAGGGATCAAGGAATCTCTGCTTTATTTAAGGTTTTGTAAGACCTCCCGGAGGTGCCTCACCTCATTAAAGGGCTCGGCTCATTTTCCAACACTGCGATCCCGTCTCTGCTTGGTGGCTGGGATGGGGAGGGCCCAAATTCTCTCCCAGGCAGCCCAAACCCCATTGCTTGTTTCTTGTAGGATCGGTCCCCACAGCCCCTCTGCTGTGCCAAGGGCTTAATGAGGAGCTGGGGGGCACCTGTGCTAATTGGGACCAGCTGGAGCTGAGCTGGGACATGAGATAAAAGCTCAGGGTCTGGGTGGGGGCTTGGTGCTTCCTCCTCCTGGTGGGTGCTGTGAGGTAGGATTTGGGTTTGTGGCCCTGCTTTTGAGGGGCTGCTTGGGAGGGGTGTTTTGGGTCTTGTTTTTGGGGTGTTTTGGGTCTTGGTTTTGGGGTGTTTGGGGTTTTGCCTCCTGTGCTGGAGAAGTGAGGGTGGGTGAAGCTGTATGAGAGGGGCTTTGGCAGGGGGCTGGTCCTGATTTGGGGTCTGCCCTGGGGACAACTTGGGGTGCCCCCCCTAAGGTTCCTTTTGCACCCATTACAGCCACGCCGTCCCCATGGGCTCTCCCCGGCGGAGCTGTGGGGTGGCCCCACCACGTCCTGCAGGTGACACATCCCCAATGCCCTGCAATGAGGGGAACATGGCCCCAGCCCCGTGTCCTGCTCCTGGTGGTGGGCTGCGGTGCGGGGCCGTCCTGCTGCTGGCCGTCTGTCTGTCCATCACCGCCCTGCCCCATGGCCTGGGCTCCCTGGTGGCCCCATCCCTTGGTCACTTGTCCCAGAGGGGACACAGGGACCCACGCAGCCACCCCACCGTGGAGCCACCTGCATCTGAGGGCACCTTGCGTGAAGAAAACTCCAGTCGTGGCATGGGAGCTGCGGGACTGGCCCTGGGGACACCGACTGGAGCTGTGATGCTGGGGGACAGCAGCGTGACAAGGTCCAGAGGCTTCTTGGATGTCCAGGATGGAGCTCCTGGAGGGCAGGAGCGAGCCGTGAGCTCTGTCCCCTGCCACCCTGTGGGTGACGTGGGTGAGGACCCTGCTGCTGCTCACCTGCAGCCCCCTGCGGGGCCGTCCCCAGCCCTGCCATCGGAGGGGACATCCAGTGCTCTGCTTTCTGTCCCCGCTGTCACACCAGTGGGGCTCTGGTCCCTGGGCACTGCCTCGGCATCTCCCAGTGCCACGTCCCGTGGTGTCAGCCCCCCGCAGGTGCTGGTCCCTTCGGAGGGGTTCGGGGGACCCGCTGTCCCCTCTGAGGAACAAATTGACCCCTCCCCACTGCCCACCCCCCACCTCTGCCACCACCCTCCGAAGCCCCTCCTGTCCCCACATGGACTGTGGGTCCCCAGCTCCTCAGGTCCCGCTGAGGCTGGGGTCAGCTTGGCAGCCCCTGGTGCCCCCGAAGCCCCCCATGAGGATGGAGCAGCTACGGGGGCTTCCTGGCCTCCAGAACCCACTCTGAGCTCTGTGCCACCTCCCAGCTGCAGCCCCCTTGCTCCCAGGCACCCCCCCAGCACCACCAGCTCTCCATCCCATCCCACCCCCCGGCTTCCCCTGCCCTGAGCTCGCAGACCCCAGCAGTCACCCCTGATTCTCCTCCTGCATCCAGTCCTTCTGTCACCTCCTGGCACCCCTCTGATGTCCCCACGGCCACCGGCTGGGTGGCAGCAGGAGGAACCCTCCCTGCAGCAGCCGCATCGAGGAGCGCTCCCGGCTCGGTGCAGCCTCCTGTGCGCAGCCTGCCCCTGAGCTTCAGGCTCCTGGGCATCACCTACACCGAGGCTCTGAGCCGCAGGGCCTCAGGGAGCTACAGGCAGCTGGAGGACGAAGTGAGGCTGATGGTGAGTGCCAGCAGAGCCCCCCGGGGGGGGGTCTTTGGGTATGCTGGTTGGGGAGCTCCCGCACACCACATCCCCGCGTGCTTCTCTTCCAGCTGGGCCAGGCACTGTCCTCCTACGAGACCTTCCTCCAAGCCAACATCCTCGAGTTCAGGTGGGTGCAGGGTGTCCGTGTGGGGCTGCCCCAGAGGGAGCAGAGCCCCCCGGGCGTGCTGCTGGCCCCCAGTTGTGGGTCAGCCCCAGCGGCTCCTCTCCTGCCCCCCAGGAACGGCTCGGTGCTGGTGCACGGGGAGGTTTTGTTCCGGGGGGATGCCCCCAGCAGCTCCCACCTCATCCGCACGCTGCTCACGGAGGCGAGCAGAGCAGGGCATGCCTTCAGCTGGCGGCTGGAGCCCCGCTCCGTCAGGTCTGGAGGTAAGCCAGGAGGGTCTGCAGCAGGGCAGCCACCCCCAAACTTCCCCCTGTGCACTGATCCGAGCCCAAACCTCCTCGGTTTAGCCCTCGGGTAACCTCCCTGCTCCTGATCCACACAAAACCATGTGGTGCTGAGGGTGCTGGAGACCCCCGTGACCCAGTGCTGGTGCCAAAACTTTTGGGTTTCCCCTCCTTGAGCTGCCTTGGGTGCAGCCTGAGCCCTTCCACCACGGACAGGAGAGCTCCTGCCCTTCACCGAGTGCCTCTGCCCCCCAGCGTGGGCTCAGGGCTGGGCACGCAGCTGGGGGAACAGGCACGGACAGAGCTTTTCTCACCCCTTCCAGGCTTCAGCTTGGAGAACCTGGACCCGGAGAAGCTGCCCATCTCTCTCACTGCCCTCCAGCTCGGCCAGGATGGGGCAGAGCCCCTGGTGAGCGAGGTATGGTGAGCCTCGGGGGCATTGGGGCTGGTGCCCTGGGGGGGGATGCAGTGGGGCCAGGAGGAGGGGGAACATCGAGGGAGCTGCTCCTGGTCCCTGGGGGTCTGAGGGTGAGCTGCCTGTGAGGGATGAGCTCCTGCCTCCTCCCCTTGCAGGTAATTCGGGCTCTCAGTGCCCTCTACCCCGTGAGGAACTTCACTGTCGGCCACCTCAGGTACGGGCAGCCCCTCTCCAAATCTCCCTGCTGAACCCCATTTTCATGGCTCTGAAGCCACGAGCTGCTGGGGGCTGCCAGCAGGAGGATGCTCCTGCCCTGCTTAGAGCCCTTCTCCCTCCTCAGACCCCTCGGGGGGGACCTGGAGGTCACCGGGGACCTCTACCTGGACACTGCTGTCCACACTGACATCGCGGCGGTGCTCCAAGCCCTGACAGTGCTGGCCAGCAGCTCCGTGGACCTCAGCTCCCTCTCGGTGCAGGGTAAGGGTGGTCCCTGAGGGTTATGGGGCTCGTGGCCGTGTCTGCAAACCAAACCCTGTGTCCTGCCCCCCCAGGAGCCAGGCTGCCCCTGCAGGTGTACCCCATCTCCTTCCTCATCACCAACAGGCGCTTCAGTGAGCGCCTCCTGGACCCGCTGGCTGAGGAGCACCGGGGGCTCGCCAGAGACCTGGGAGAAGTGGTAGGAACAGCTGGGTGAAGGGACTGGGGGTCTCCTGGGGGCTGAGGACCCTGGAGGAATAGGGTCTGCATTGGGGTGCCCACAGCAGTCCCCTGGGACTCTGTTGGGTGCTGGCTCTGAGGCTGCGCTGGTGGAGGTCTCCTCCATGGGTGGGGAAATAAAAACCCCTGGGCACTGCTGAGCAAATTTTCTCTTCCAGGTGGCGAGAGCCCTACAGGGGCATGGGAGCTTCCTGCAGGCAGTGATAAGAGGATTTCTGTGAGTGGGAGTGTGGGGCTGCTTGGGCAGGGGGGGGTATGGGTCTGGGGGAGTCTCAGACATCATCCCTGGGCTCTGAGCATTTGAGCCCAGAAGGGTTTGTGGCAGGGGCTGGCGTCTTAGGGGGGTGGCATCTTAAGTCTTTGGGACCAAGGGGATGTCTCTGGGGGCTGGGAAGGAAATCCCAACGCCTCCTCATGGGGCTGTGCTGGGACAGGCTGGTGCAGGAGCTCTCCCCAACCTCCCCCCCCCCCAGGCCTGGCTCCCTGCTGTGCCATGGGGACGTGCTCTTCCAGCCCCCCGCTCCCACCAGCCTGGAGGTCCTGGAGGCGCTCGCTCTCGCCGTGGGGCCAGACGAAGCCTTGGCTGGCTCTGCCTTCCACGTGGACCCCTATTCCATCGCTGTCGGAGGTAAGCTCCCTTTGGGGTGGGAGCTGGGGGGCTCCGTGACCCCCAGGAAGGTGCTGACCGCTGGCTCTGCTCCAGAGGACACCCTGGAGCCCCCTCCTGCTCCTGGCTTTCCTGAGTCCGTGGTGGCCATCATGGTCGTGTGCGTCCTCGTCATCAGTTACCGTGCCCATCATCTTGCTGGTGGTAAGGGTGTTGTCCGTCTGTCCGTCCATCTGTCCCCTCGGGGGGGTCATGGAGCTCGGGTGGCAGCTCGGAGGGTGGTGGGCACGAGGGCTGCAGTGCTTCACCTGGATAAAAGAGGGACTGGGGAGGGGTCCGGAGGTGTCACGGCTGTCTCAGCGCTGGCACAAGGGTTGGGGTGCTCCAAAATAACCCCAAAAATCCTGGGGGTGGGAATCCTGGAGGGGGGAGGCTGCAGTGTGAGCAGGGCCCGGCTGCAGCCTGGTGCTCCCCTCCCCAGGTCCTGAGGACCAGGAGGGGCAGCTGGAGCGATGTGGCCATCCTGTGGGACAGGAGAGACCCTGAAGTGGGGACGCAGACCCTGGAGATGGAGAACCAAGGGTTCTGGGTGGCCTCCAAGCAGGTGAGTGGCCTTTATGGGGGGGGGTGGTCCCTGAGGGTGGTTTCTGGTGGGAGCTGGAGGCAGGTAGCTGTGGGGGGCCCTGGAAGTCACTTCAGGGGTCTTGGTGGCTGGGCTGGGGATGCTCCTGTGTGATGTTTGGATCTGAAGGGGCTCTGAGCCCCCCTTGGGGCTGGAGGAAGGGGAGGGGGTCCCTGCTGCAGTCCTGGAGGGGGACACAGCCACCTCTTGCCCTCAGGACACAGAGGAGGCTTCTGCGTGCTGGCAGACGGACTCAGCATCGTGAGGGAAGGAGCTGCTGGGCTGAAGGAGGTGAGGAGGGATGCTGCAGCGCTGTCCCTGCTCCCCCTTCCCTGCGGGATGCCAGCTGCCCCCTGAGAAGGACGCAGGCTCTGGTATAACTTTTTGTACAAAAAGCTTTAATAAACTGTTTGTAGAACCCCACACCTGCCTCTCCTCTCTTTCTGCCTCTCCTGGGTGGGATTTGGGGTCTGTGGGGCTTGCCCTTCACCCAGCCTTAAGGGCTAAGTAGGGCTTGGGAAGCCCAAGCCATGACCCCAAACCTCCAGAGTTTGCTCAGCAATCACTGCCTCTGCTGCTGCTACCCCTGGGGACTTGGGGGGCCAGGACTAAGCAACAGCAACTCTGAAATATTTTCATATTTAACTTCTCCTTAACCTGTGTTTTTCCTTTTCTTTATGGAAGCTGAGGCTGAGCTTTAGTTGGAATAAAAGGTAGGATACCCCAGGGCCTGTAGGTCTCCTGTTTAGCACTAGACCTGGGTCCTTGGACCCTTTCCCTCTTTTCTTAGGGGGGGTCTCTGGCACCACCACACTCCCCATAGGATAAAAACCATAAAGATGTGGAGGTGTTTCCCTGTAATTTGGTCTGTCTGATCCCCAGAAAGTAGGGCTGTGTGGGCATCTCATTTATTAATGTTATTAGTGTTGTTTTTAAAACTAAAACCCACTCCCCTGGGTGCTAAAGTGTACTTCCCAGTTCATCTCTTTATTTGGTGCTTGTGCACAGCTAAAGCAGCTCCTAATTAATTAATTAACCAGTATACAGCTGTGGTGATTAACATTGATACCCAAGTTATGGCAGCGATGGGTTTATGGCCTTGTCAGAACCTGCTCACAGCAGCTGGTCGGAGGCTGAGCCTCTCTCCTGGTGCCCAAATAGAGAGCTGGAGCTGAAATGCAAACCATAATATGAAAATAGAGAAAACAGCATGCTGGTGGTGAAACACAAGGCAAAACAACATCAGGTGGCTGGAGCTGGAAGAAGCCTGAGCATCTCCTACCTGCTTACCGCTGGAGCAGACCCCTGGGACCTGGAGCTGGCAGCAGGGCATGAGCTGCAAACAAAGACCCCGGGTAAAACACGGGGCTTAAGCCAAAATGGTCACGGTGGTAGTGAAACCCAGCCAAAACTAGTTATGGAGCAGTGTATGCATGCTAGCACAAGGTGAAAACAAATGCCACGAGCTGAAAATACAGAGCTGGAGGTGGAACCTAGGGCACGGTGGGCAAAACCACAAGGAGCTGAAGCAGTTCCTACCTGGTGTGTGCTGAGATGCAGGGCTGGGGCCAAATGGAGGCCTGGAGCTGGAAACTCAGGGCTTGAATTAAAAATGTAGACCTGGAGCTCAACTGCAGGGCTTGAGCTGAAAATGAAGATCTGGGTGTAGATAAATCCCAGGGAGCAGGGAGAGATGAAAACGTTGCCCAGCTGGAGCTGTACGAAGCTGGAGCACCTCTTACCTGGAGCAGCCCCTGCGGAGCTGAGCTGCAGGGCAGGAGCTGTAACGAGGCAGCGCTGAAAGGAGCCGGAGCATCAGGGGTGTGCGGTGCCTGCAGCTGGGACAGGGCCAAAAACCCAGCGCTGGAGCTGAAATTAAACATCTGGGAACAAAAGGTGCTGAAAGCGTAACGGAGGGGTGAGGACACAGCACTGAGGGGGTGAGAACGGGATGGGGGGATGGGAAAGGGCCATGGGGATGCACCCAGTGGGGTAGCAGCGGCCCCACTGCAGGCACTGCTGGGCACATTCACAACCCACCAGCTCCTGGCAACACGGGACGGGACAGGGCAGGGACCCCTTGGCCCCAGGACCCCACACCCAATGGACCCACACCCACCCCACCCACTCAAAGGCACCCCCTGCCCAAACTACCCCCCCCCAGCTCAGCTCCGCTGCTCAAAAGAGATTAAAAATAATAATAATAAAAAAGCCCAAAGCAACGGGTTTTTAATGGGTTCCATCTTTTTTTTTCTTTTTGGTGTGTGTTTTTTTTGCTTTTTTTTTTTTTACAGCTGGTGAAAATAATAATAATAAACCAGACGTCCCGTCGTCCCGAGGGCTGCACAGGCAGCCCGAATTTCAGGGGAAGCACCTCCAAATCTTTGCTGCTTTCATCCTACGGGGAGCATGGTGTTGCTGGAGACCCCCCAAAAAAAGGCAGAAAGGGTTCAACGACCCAGCTCGCAGTTGCTAAATGTGAGATCTACCGGCCTGGTAGCATCTCTCCCTTTATTCCAGCTAAAACTTGTCATCAGCTTCCATCAGAAAATGGAAAAACGACGCAGGTTAAGGAGAAGTTAAGTATCAAAATATTTCAGAGAGTCTCTCTCGCTTCCCTCGTGTCATGTGGAGCGGTTGGGGTGAGTTTTCTGGGGTGGTTTTGGGCTCGAGGAGCTGCTGGTGGTGGGGCTGGGGCAGGTGCCGTCCTTCAAGCCCCCTCGGCTCAAGATCTGCAGGGAGAAAGACAACGATTTGGGGCTGAAAAAGGTGTAGGGATTCCTTTGGAAAAATGCGTATTGCAGCTGTTTCTGCTCCTAAATAACGCGAAAATGGGGGAAATTCAATATAAACACCCAAGCAGGGTGACGGAGGAAAGCACTGACCCGCAACCCAACCCTTTGCCAAACCCATCCCAAAGTAATGACAGCAATTAACCCTCCACCTCCCGACTCGTCCGTCCCCAGGGATGGACAGAGCCCGGTGGGACAGATGGACGGGCTGACGGACAGACAGACAGACGGCTCCTTACTGGGAGATCTTGCAGTTTGTCGTGGCGACGTAGCGGCCGGTGTAGTGGATGTTGCAGCGCACCACGTTGTTGGTGAAGTCCGACTCCAGGACGATGTATTTGGGGTTCACTTGGACCTAAGCGAAAACACCGTGCAAAAATGAGCAAAACGGGAAGAAGAACCCCAAGAAATGATCCCACATGTTGACAATTTTTGCTCCTAAAAAGCAAAAGCATCACCTTTAGGACGTAATTCCCCGGCTGCACGTCCGTGATATCGATCCACTGGCAGTCGATGTCGGCGTTGTAGGTGTCGTAGCACCCTGGGCTCAAGCCCTGCGGGGAGGGAAATGAGTTTGAGGGGTAGGGAGATGGGTTTGGGGACCAGCCCCGAGGACCCTGACCGGTCGAGGAGCATCCCGAGCCCAACCTGGGTGTGGGAGGTGCAGGCGTAGCGCTTCAGGTTGCCGAAGTCGCAGGTGGTGTCCTCCAGGCAGAAGCTGGCCTTGTGGCCCTCGGCCACCTTCCTGCCCGTGGTGGCATCCAGCAGGTCGTAGTGGCTGAACTCGTCCATGCTGTGGTAGTGCCTGGGGGTGGGGGGGTGGCCGTGAGGGTGGCCGTACCCCCCCAAATCCCTCCCAAATTGCCCTGTCCCCACCCCAGGTGTGAGTTTTGGGGGTGTGAGGGGCTCCGCAGTGACCCCATGCTTACACCAGCCCGTGGCCAAGGGGTGACACAACCATGGGGGCTTCTGGAACAAGGAAGCAAAGCCAGGTGACCCCCTCCCCAAAAAAAAAATAAAAAAAATCTCGGGGCTGCAAGCAGGTGAAATGAGACACAGAACCATGGGAGAAGGAGAGGGGGTGCAGAAGCAGGGGGGCCACGCGGGTGTCCCCAACTCACTGGTGGCAGCTGTGCCACTCCCAGCTGTGCCGGGGGCGGCTGGGCAGGAAATCGGCCGTGCCCTGGTTCTTCACCCGCTGCGGGAACCGCAGGAGCACCCGCACGTCGTAGTCGGTGGCCTCGGCCGTGTAGGCGGTGCTGGGGAAAGTGGAAGTTGGCGGTGGGGCCGTGCCCTTCCCCTTCCCTCTCCTACACCCTTCATCCACCATCCTTCTTCCTCTGTCCTCCATGCTCCACCTTCCTCTTTCAGCCTCTGTCCTTCTCCTCCATCCTCCTCCTTCACCCTCCAAACTTCATCTTCCATACTTCACCCTCTGTCCTTCCTCCTTTGTCTTCCCTTTCCCTCCTTCATTCTTCATCCTCTATCCTCCATGCTCCATCCTCCTCTTTCGTCCTCCATTCTCTACCCTCCTTCCTTCACCCTCCAACCTCTTCCTGCATCCTTCACCCTCCTTCATCTTCCATCCTTCACCCCCATCCTCCTTCACCCTCTATCCTTTCTCCTTCCCTTTCCCTCCTTCATTCTTCATCCACCATCCTTCATCCTGTGTCCTCCACCCTTCTCCTTCATCCTCTACCCTTCATCCTTCACTCTTCATACTTCATCTTCCATCCTTCATCCCCCATCCTCCTCCTTCACCCTCCATCCTTCTTCCTTCTCCTTCCTCATTCCCCTTCCCTTTCCTTCTTCATCCTCTATCTTCCATGCTCCATCCTCCTCTTTTACCCTCCATGCTCCATCCTTTACCCTCCTTTCTTCATCCTCCGTCCTTCTGCATCCTCCGCTCTCCATCCTTCACCCTCCATCCTTCACCCTCCACTCTTCACCCCATCCTCCTCCTTCACCCTCCATCCTTCCTTCTCCTCCCTCCCTCCTCCTCCTCCCTCCCCCACTTTACACCATTTCCAACCCGTGACCCCCCTCTCCGTCTCCACCCCATGACCCCCAGGACCCCCAACCTACCTGGCCAGGCACTTCTCCTCGGCGGCGCAGCGCAGCGAGTACAGGTGTGCCCGCTGCACGTAGGTGGACGCCTGCACATAGTTGGGGTCGGGCACCAAGTCGGGGAGACCTGCGGGGGACACATGGCCTCCTGTGTGGTGCACACCCAAAACACCCACAGGTGTTTTGTCTCCATCCTCATCCTCATCTCAATCCCATCCTCACCATCCCCATCCCAATCCCATCCTCATCCTCACCATTCCCATCTCCATCTCCATCTCCATCCCCATCCCAATCCCATTCTCATCCTCACCATTCCCATCTCCATCCCCATCTCAATCCCATCCTCACCCTCACCATTCCCATCTCCATCCCCATCTCAATCCCATCCTCACCATTCCCATCTCCATCCCTATCCCAATCCCATCCTCATCATTCCCATCTTCATATCCATCCCCATCCCCATCCCCATCCTCACCCCCATCCCCAGCCCAGGAGCCAGTCCATCCCCCCCCCGTTGCACCAAGGATGTTTCCAGCATGTTGCATTTTTTCCTCCTGCTCTTCC